ACCCATCCATCCATTCACCCACCCATCCACCCATCTATCCACCCTGGCATTCATCCATCTACCTACCCATCCATCCATCCATCCATCCATCCATTCATCCATCCACCCACCCACTCATTCATTCAGCCATCCACTCACCCACCCAGGCATCCATCTACCCATCCACCCACTTTGGCATCCATCCATCTACCTACCCATCTGTCCATCTATCCACTCACCCACCCACCCACCCTGGCATCCATTCATCCACCCATCTGTCCACCCTGGCATCCATCCATCTACCTACCCATCCATCCATCCATCCATTCATCCACCCACCCACTCACCCACCCAGGCATCCATCCACCCATCTACGCACCCTGGCATTCATCCATCTACCTACCTACCTACCCATCCATCCATCCATCCATTCCACCCAACCACTTACCCTGGCATCCATCCACTCACCCCGGCGTCCATACATCCACCCACCCACTCGTTCATTCATTCACCCATCCATCCACTCACCCACCCAGGCATCCATCCATCCACCCACCCACTCATCCATCCATTTATACACCCACCCACGCACTTGCTCACCCCCATTCCCCCATGAAGCTTTCTAACCAGTCAGTCGACCATCACAATCCCCCTTCCTCCCCATTCCCCCTACATTCAGACACATCCAAATTGGCATTCAAATGACTGAGTCACTGGTATAGACACTCAGCAATCCTCAGGCAGCACCAGTGTGCCCCCGGAACCCCTGCTTTGTGTGCCAACACCCCAGGCCCCCTTGACCCGCCCAGACAGGGGGCACAGCAGCTCGTGGGGCATCGTGGTCTACAAAGTGCCTCTGCAGACACCGTCTCCTTTGTCCTCCCTCCTGCAGCTGGTAGATGCCTGATGTGTGTCCCCCCTGGTGCCTCCAAGGGGGTGTCATTCTGTTCATTTCAAAGGTTAGTCTGGGTCACACCTCCCCAGCGGCTCCTCCAGGTCCCATCTCCTCGTCCCAGCTCCCCGAGTCCTCTCTGCCCCCTGCTCCCCACCCCTCTGCTCCCGACATACTGGGCCTTTTGTTCCTCAAAAATGCTGGGCCCATGCCTGCAGGGTCCAGTGTCCCGCTGCCCACGTCTCCACATGGCTGGGTCCTCCATGAATTCCATACTCTGCTTAAATGTCACTTCCCAGAGGGCTGGGTTGCCTGTCCTGTCAGCTGGAATTTTTCATAGGGCACTTGGCATTCTGGACACTCTCCTTTGTATCACTTTTTTTTTTTCCAGTTGGGCTCTCCCTCTGTCACCCAGGCTGAAGCGTGGTGACACAATCACGGCTCAACCCAGCCTCGACCTCCTGGGCCCAGGTGATCCTCCCACCCCAGCCTCCCGGGTAGCTGGGACTACAGGTGTGCACCATCACGCCCGGCTACTATTTTTATTTTTGGTAGAGATAGATTCTCACTATGCTGCCCAGGCTGGTCTCGAACTCCTGGGCTCAAGCAACCCTCCCACCTCAGCCTTCCCCAAGTGCTGGGATGACAGGCGTGAGCATCTGCACCCAGCCTGCACCACGTGTTCTTCTCAGCCCTCTCCTGTCTACCAGATGCAGCTGTGGGCGAGAGGTGGCCTTGCCCCAGCTCCCATAGCAGGGTCCTGCAGCAAACATTCCCGTATTTGGAATGACATGCACGTCAGGTGTCGAACGGCTTCAGGGTGGGGACCTGGGATAGTCATATGGCAAGAACGTCCCCAGCGGAGGCACCCGGAACAGACACATCCTGCTCTCCTCTGACGGCCCACCTCCTATCATTCCTCCAAATCTCTGGGTCAGGGAAGGGTCCTTAGAGAGGGGTTAGTTTGGGGCCGATTTCCATGTAACTTGGAGGGGTTCCCATCCCCTCACCGCCTGCCATGCACTGTGTCATCCGACATATAACGGAAGGCAGGCAGGCAAGCCGGGAACACAGCCCGGAGGAAGCAGGGAGGGTCAGAAGGCAGGCTGGAGGGAAAGAGAACGGACGGCGAGGGAACAGTCTCTGCTGCGCGAGGCGGCCCAGGGCCAATGTGGGGCCCACTCTCACTGGCGTCCATGGCCTGGAGGGAACCCGACCTGCACCCAACGCCAGCACCCTGGCCCCCAGGGCCCCAAGGACACGCAGCCTGTCTGCACGGCGTGGGCTTAGCCTCCAGCTCCCAGACGCTTTCCGGCCACGCGTGATGCCATGTCGACATCCAGCCACGGCCTCACCCGGCCCCCACAATCCTGAA